CTTAATTGTAGCTAGGGTTTACAAACACCCAAGTGAATAGGGAGGCTATTCCCTAGCTATGCAAAGGAAAACAAGGGAAAGGAGAGAAAGAGCCATGAAGAGATGAAAATATTTCCTCTTTGTTGCTTGAATCTCCCTTAAGAAGAAGAAACCTTCACTCCTCTAGTTTGAAATGAGCCCAATCTCTTTCTGCCTCCTTTGAATAGCCCTTTATCTCTCTAGAATAGGAATAGGAAACCCTAATCTCTGACTAGAAACCCTCATTTATTCTGACACTAAAACCCTAGAAAAGCTCCCTTCTTCTTCAGCTCACTTCCCCTTTTACACCCAGATCGGGCTCAGTTCACGGTCTTAGTTCACAGTCGTGAACTGAAAGCCCAGACCGTGAACCAACATTGAAACGTGCCACATCACTTAACTCTGTTCACGGACAGAGGTCTGAGTTCACGGTCTTACGACCGTGAACTGGCTCGTGTTCAGTGAAACCAAAAATTGCTCGAACCTCCGCACTTCACTATCTCAGGGAAATTATCACGGTCACATTGTACTTTTTTCCACTTTTCGCGATTTTCGACCTCCAGTCGACCCGAAACTCGTCCTCGACCTCCACACATGTGCTAGGACCTGAAATATGACAAAACAAGCACACCCTAAGTGTAAAATAAGTCGAGAGACGATGAAATGCAAAGCCAAAGATCAAGAAATGATGGATAAAATGTGTGCATTTGCCATTTAGACCCGAATCAATTATAAAAAATCCTTTTAATCAATTCGCGATCATCGTATCTTCAGACACATAGTACGTTCATCTTAATCGTCAGGATTTTAATTTTAGTTAGTCATGTGATACTAAAATTTGTGTTAGTCATAGTGAAGATACCATGGGCATCTAAAGATTCGACTTTGAAGTATAACTTCCGCAATGCACATATTATACTCTTTGGTTTTCTGTATGCCGTAAGCCCTTAACTCATGTTGAGAATGCTAGGTTTGAATCTTGGCACTTAGCTTTTTTACATTTTTTGGTTTCTCTAATAGATTGTACAGTGGTACTCTAACATTTTTGTGTACAAAACAGTCATAAACTCTTATCACAAATTTATTTGTGCAAAATACGCAAGGTTAGTGTTGTATCAATGAAATTTCATGTCACTATGGTACATCTTCAACATGCTACTTAGGATTTTTGATCAATCTGCGATGTGCCTATCAAATCATTAAATTCATACTTATTAATCGTGTCATGATAAAAAAAGATGGTAAATGTCGGGTAAATATTTTCAATATTGAACTACATCAAATTTCTATAAATGCTTTCTTTGTAAACATGCATATAAATATTAGTTACATATTTTTGTTATTTGACTCGCTCTGACTACCACAATAAAATCTCACCTAAGGCCCAAGTATAAACCTTAGATGGGTGCAATATAAGGCAAGTATGTTTAAATATCGACCCGGCCCGACCCATGTACCGCTACTTTGACTGTTTGAAACATTATCTAGCAGATAGTTTTGGTTAACAATTACGACTTGAAGAATTGAATGACCGTGTGTGGTTAGGGTTTATAAACCGTAGGGAAGTCTAACAAGTAGCCAAAGCTACCCTGTTAGTCTCTAGGTCGAGGAAATGAGATACGATCCAAGCCACTATTGCGACCCTCTCAACCTATTGACTAAGGAATGATTAGTGGTGGTGGTCCAGGGCGCTGCAGCGCGGGACGACGACGGCAGTAGGGAGGTCGAGCAGGTGACTGCTCTGGATGGGGGGACCTCTGCATTGGGCTCCACTAGAGCCGGGTCAACTGCTGGCCTCATGACTCCTGAGGGTCGGAGCCCCTCGAGGTACTTTATCTGCCGCTCGCCCTAAAGCACTAGCTTCTGGTTGTAGAGAGTCGCCACTAGAAAGGGTTCCGTCCGGCCGACGATGGAGTACCTCTCCACATCCACACCGAAGTGTTTGGCCAGCCTTGTGATGATGCCTCCCATGTGCATGGTGTCCACCCTGTTCTGTCCCAGACACCGAGCGAAAGAGGTGGCAATAAGTGATCCCAGATGGATCGGCTCTGCGGGATGTCTCATATAAACGAGAGCAAGCAGCCCTTTGTTCGTGATTAAATGGCCCGACTGCAAGTTGGGAACGACGAATCGAGTGAGCAGCGTGTGCATGATCCTCCATGGGGTCCTCAGCTTCACCGCATTGGTGCGGCCAGCCTCCAACTCGTCCTGCTCGTGCTCGCAGGGGCAGAGGGCCTGGAATGCGGCCTGGTAGTGGAAATTGATGGTGTACGGCCGCTCCGTCATCATCATGTATGTGGTGTCGAGCCCCATGGCCTGGGCGAATGCATCATAGGTCAGCACCCGCGGCTGACCGCCCAACATAAACTCCATTTAGGGCCGACTCTTCTTGCTGGTTGGGACGACGTGGGCGAAGGTTGAGTAGAACTCCACACAGAGCTCGTGGTAGATGAGCTCGTCCAAAGATAGCAATTGGCGCCACTGGGGGTGACAGGCGATCCTTGACATCGCGACTCGACACCTAAACAGGTTAAACATGTCCAAGTCCAGCCGCCAATGTTGTCTAATCAGGCTGTCCTTCTGGCCTGAATCATTATTAACATGCATTATCAGCGATACAACATATACAAAGTTAATATTAATCAAACTCTCCCGGCCAACGTGGCGAGCCCGATGCTAATTGTAGTGGAGTAGCAGAACATTGCGTCTAAAACTTGACATGCGAGTTACAAGACTATATTATTTATAGTATAGTAATTACTCGGATCAATAAGATGGGTTCGTATTAGATCGATGTGGTCTATAGTTTGTTTTCCAATCAAGTTGCTAGTCAATTAACAGTGCGGGTCAATCGTGTTATAAATCAATTGAGTTATAGATCAGAGAGATTGCAGGTAGGGATGAGAACAAAACTCAAATCCATGGTACTCTACCCGATCCAACCTGGTCAACACGGGTAAAATCCGTGTTGACGGGTTCAGGCCGAGTTCGTGTTTAAGCTCGTTACACTGTTCACCGAATTGGATTCAGGTTTAGCTATATCCGACCCATGAATACCCGCCGCACCTTTTTCCACATAGGAGTAGAGAATTAGACCTAAATCATTTCTCACCACCCCGCAACTCTCTCTCAATCTCTCACACTCTCATCTGCCGCCTCCCACACACTCCCAGAGACAGAGTCCAATATCCCTGCCAACCATCTCAAAACCCCTTCCTCTCCCTGTCGGCCACCAGCACGCAGCAACTCTCCCTCAGCAGCTCGCGACCCATTAGCCACAAATACCACCGTCGTCCTCCCAACTTCAGTTACAATGATAAAGGAGAAGAAGAAGAAGTTTGTCGATCCCAATTTCATTTTCTGCTTGCAGTGATCTGTTGTGTGTCTTTCTATAGGGTAATTTTGTGTTTTCCTATAGTTTGTCGATCCCAGCTTCAGTTGCATTTTATAGCGATACGTTCTTGGTGGTGTTAGAGTTTTATTTGAAAGTAGATTGTTAATATGTATTTTTTAGGATAATGTATTTGTTGGGCCGCATAGTTGAGCGTACTTGGGCTTTGGCCCAAAGGGAGCAAGCCAGCAGACAAGGCCCAATAAAGGAGCCAGGGGTGACTAGAAGACCAGGTCAGCAGGCGGTCCTTGACCGACTGCAGGCCCGAGGATAGGCAAGGGCGCCTGACATAAAGGGACTGAATAGCGCAGAGGGGCAGGGAGCCGTTGGAGATACGTATCTTATGTCAGATAAGACTAAGCATTTATTGCCGGCCACAGGCGGCCTACAGAAAGGCTAAAAGCCTGCCAAGGGCGCCCGACACGGGTCGAGGCGCCCGACACAGCATTTAATGCCTCAACCACCCTTAGAACAGGTATAAATATAGAGTGAGTACATTAATGGTAAACTCAACTACTACCCTTCTATCATCATAAATCTATCTCTCTCTCCCTTTCTCTCTCTAACTTAAGCTTCGGTGGGTGTCCTGGGCAACCGCCCCGGACCCTTGTTTTGCAGAGTATCTGGAGCGCCTCCCTCTGTCCACAGTGAGACGCCTCGCCCCAGCTCCACAAACCGCCTAGTTATTACTAGGCACAAACAGTATTAATGTCTATTTTTTATTCGAACATTTTTTAGTTTTTTTTTTTTATATTATTGAAACCTATCAAAACGCTAAAAAGTAGCCAAATGTTAACTTTCAATTAGCAATTTTGTTAGCAATATTGACTTGGCAACATGATACTGACTTGAAAGATACACATGATTATCAATATTGCAAAATTTTAGTATTTTAACAAAGAAAAGAGTTACAAAATTATTAACGATAACGTAAAAATGACTAATATTTTGATGCATTATGAAAGATTTGGCTAATTAATAGCATTTTAATAGGTTTGGATAATATAAAAAAATATGAAAAAGTTTTGGATAAAAAATAGACATTACCCTATTTTTTACGACAAAAACTATGCGTATATATGAACCGGAGGATATCCAACGAGTTGTATTGAGTTTTAGTTTGCAAAACCCAATGGATTTTACCCTATTCTTTTAATGAATATACTCGTTGGGTTTGGGTTTGATAGAACCCAACCCAAATCGACCCATTGCCATCCCGTTATGGACTTTTAGGGGTCGTTTGGAAGTTGTGATTCTTCAAATTGATATATTGAGTCAATTAGTGTATTATCAATTGATGTATTAGGAAAATATCTTGTTTGGAGGTTTAGATTGTGGTTTGTTGTAAAGCCACAAAAGTCAATTTTGAGTGATTGTGAAGAATCTCAATAAAAAGAAGAGATTGATAATCCCTCAATTATAAGTAATTGTGGTGGGACTTCCAAAAAGTTAATGCATGTATTCTAGTTCAATATAAAAAAAATGACTTAATCTCACAAATCATAAATTAGCCCAATACACAATTTAAAATCACAAAAGGGCCTTGCCCCTTAGTTAACTCAAATTATAGGCGGGTTCTGAATCCGGTTGACGGACGAATTACTCAGAGGTTGTGAACGTGATTCTGTTTCGACTTTCGACACCTGTAGACTGCAGTGACAATCCACCCTCTTCCCATTAAGTGAGGAGCTGGAGGGGAAACGAAGAGAAGACAAACGGCGCTCAATAATAAACACACCAGAGGCAGACGGGAAGATCCTCCGGTCTCGTCCTCCCGCTCCCTCGCTGGCGTCTCTCTATCACTCTCGGTTACTGTTTAAACACTAGCTGGAACTCATGCGAATTCATCTCTGAGCCCGAACTGACACTCCTCCTCTTCATCCCTACAAATAATCGAGCATCTAGTCTATTTGTCCCTGCGATGGTGGTCTGCAAATGCCGGAAGGTAACCTGCCCCTCAATTTCATTTCCAGATTCGTTCTGTAAGGAGCTGTTAGATCTGATTCGAGAGTGATGCTTCGGGGCAGTTCTGCGATCTAATTTTCGGTTCTATGATGTGCAGGTTATGATTTGCGTAGTTGAAATGTTTACTTTTTGACCTATGTTTGTTGCAACTCCGGAAAGGTTGACAAATTCTTATTTTTATCGGCTGTTTCAGGCTACTAAATTGTATTGTTTCGTGCACAAGGTTCCTCTTTGTGGGGAATGCATCTGCTTTCCAGAGCATCAGATATGCGTGGTATGTATGGTTTGTGCTTTAGGTCACCATGATGGTGTTTGAATGATGATTGATTGGATGCTTATTGTATGTAAATAAAGATAATTTATCTAAACTAACAGTAACCGTTTTCAGTTTATGTGTTATGCTAGTCATGGTTGACTATTCTGAACTTTGGAACTGAGTATAAGTCGTAAAATATTTCGTTGAGACTTATCAAACCATTAGTTTCTCTGAATTAAGGAACAAGCTGTCAAAGTCAAACCTCTCTAATTTGCTATTGTCTTTCACACAATAAAATTGTCAAAGGGCAACTCGATTGCATGATTCCGAATCATAGCTTCTGCATAAGGTTGTTGTAAGTTCCGTGTTAATTTTCTTTGTTTTCTCTTATAGGTTCGTACATACTCCGAGTGGGTTATAGATGGAGGGTATGATTGGCCCTCTAAATGCTGCTCATGCCAAGATGTTTTAGACAAGGGTTCTGGCGAAACAACTCGGTTGGATTGCATGCGTAAGTGCTCTTATGGTTCATTCTTTTTTACTCTACTAGCACACTGAGAGTGGCATCTAACATTTTAAGCTGGGCTGCAGATGTAATACACACAAGTTGTTTGGTTTCACATATAAAAAGCTTTCCTCCACACACTGCCCCAGCTGGATACGTGTGCCCATCATGTTCAATACCGGTATTTTTTTCACTTTTGAAGTTTCTTATTTCGCCTGATTCAGGGTAGTTTCTAGTAATGCCAAGCTTTAGTGCTGCTAAAATGAATTGCAGTCCGGAAATTGTGTTTCTGAAATTGCTATCTTTTTACTGTTAGCATTAGCTTGCACTGGGAAACTTCAGATCGAATGGGATGAGATCTCGGGTAGAATGTTCCATATGTTTTTTAGTTGGTAGTCTAAACTTGGATGTGCAATCGAGTCTTGATCTTAGCTAAGAGTCTTTGAGTATAGTTAGGCTGACCTATTGGTTTCGGTTCTCGTTTGGTTATGCTTTTGGTCTTTTGTTGGTACTGTACTTGCATTTTTTGAACTTATGTTATTAAATCAATGAAAACCTTGGGGTCACTTGAGTTTTTATCATCAAGTGCATCTGCGCAACAGAGTGTCAGAGTCTTTGCTTCACCTTATGGCAGCCAAAAAAAAAAAAAGAATAAAAATGCGGCGTCGTAACGTCACTTATTGCTCTTCCAAATTGGTTACATGATTTCAAGATAAAATTGTTTTGTGCGTCTGAATACATAATCTTTGTCTGACATGCCTGCATTACCCATCTAGCTCCCTGTTAACAGGGACATCTCTATCTAACACATGATGTCGGGCCTCTATTTTGGTTACAACAGATAAAATCCTTGTCAATTAACCATTTAAGCTGTCTGGCTTTTGAGACTGGGGCATGGCGTTTGGGGTTCTGCCAATTTCTGAATATATTAATGATTGTTTTGATACAAGCAAAAGAACCTAGCAGAGAATTGAGTTAGGTGTTGGTTGCATAGATTTGTTTTGCTCTGAGGTTAGCATTCCTCAGTTCTGTTGTTTCATATATGGTTATATTTGTGCAGATATGGCCTCCCAAAAATGTTAAAGACTCGGGATCTCATTTCTATTCAAAACTGAAGGAAGCTATTATCCAGGCATGTATTCTGTCATATCTTTGGTGATCTGTTACTGCAAAGAAGCCCTTGTGGAATACTTGCTCCACAAATCAGTCGGAGCATAACATTACCACATAGCTGCTTGTAATAAACTGATTTTATAAGTCAAAATTATATGAATCGAGTCTTAAATAAACTGGTTTGTGTTTCCCTATTGTCCAAATTTTGGATGGATTATCCTAGGATCGCAACACCTTCTTGCATCACTCGGCATACCATCTGTCACCATTAATTGATTTCATTATCTTTTGACTGTGAAAGTGCATGCGGCAGTGGTAATCTGATATTTGCATGTAATTTGAACTAAACAGACACATTTCCTCTTCGAGCTAAACATGGTTGTTTGTAATACAAAAAATTGACATTTGCATGTATGCTTCCTTGCTCCAAATTTAGGGTCCAACGTGAGTTCTGTTGTCTCACATGTTCTCTTGTCATGCCTTCTTTCGCATCAAATGTTGCCTTTGAGCTTCCGTAGATTGGCTTTGTAGATATCACTGATAGCTTCTGTTCACCATCATTCAGACGGGTCTAGAGAAGAACTTGTTTGGAAACCATCCAGTTTCTTTGCCGCCACCACCTCCTGCATTTGCGACAGATCCATTGGTTTCTATTTCTCCTTCGTCATTGTTGGCAAAAGATGATCCAGGTGACTCGGTTGCGGGATACTCAAGTGTCTCTGGAATGATGCCTTCTAAGATATCAATCCCGGACATTGTGGAGATTGATAGTCCAAGTTCGGTAGCAAATTATTTAAACAATTCTAGTCCTGCTGTAAGAGCTCTTAACTTATATCTCTCAGTAATAACTTTTGCCCTATTAAGTGTACAGTTAGAGTGTAATACAAAGCTTTCTTATCTTTCATTTTTATTTTATATTTTCCTGGAATCAGCCTGTTGCAACTACTAGAAAAGGTGGTATCCATGTTGAGAGGCAAAATTCAGAAATTTCATACTATGCAGATGATGAAGACGGGAATCGAAAAAAGTACAATCGAAGGGGTGAGTAGTAATCTGTTTATAAGTGCTGCATTCGTTCCAATTCCTTTCTGTCAGCCAGGCATGTGCCCTATTCTATGCTAGAAAGTCTAAAGTTACAGAATTAACGCTCTTGGATATGCAGTAATAGTGCTGGCATTTTCTTGTTTTTGTTCCGAGTTTCTTAAAGCTAATCTAGAGAGCACAATATGGTCTACATCTAAATAAGGCTGATGACCAGAGGTCTGGTGGTATGAATTGCTCCTTGTTCAATTGGGGAGCAATTGCTGCATATTTCATCAGATGTATTTTCCTTTATAAACATCAACTGTTATGTGTTACTACAGGTCCAATCCAACATAAGTTCCTCCGAGCATTGCTCCCCTTCTGGTCAAGTGCATTACCAACTTTACCAGTGACTGCCCCTCCCCGTAAAGATGCTACAAATGGTGACGATACCCCTGAAGTCCGTACAAGGCACCAGAGACCATCAAGGATGGATCCCAGAAAAATACTTCTCTTCATAGCAATTATGTAAGTCTAAAGTTGCCCTTCGGATTCCTTACCTACATTTCTTTCCGGATAACAAGTCTCTAGAGTTTTGGCATGATAGAAGAAAGGTTGAGTCGCGACTGGCTACAACAGGATGCTAAAAATTGCAGAATAGCTAGCTGTTGTTTTCCCGTACTGCCGCAACGAAGGTATGATGACCACTTCTTAACTAGATGTTATAATGACCTGCAGGGCGTGCATGGCGACCATGGGAATACTGTACTACAGAATTGCACAACGTGGTTTTGGGGATGAGTCAGGTGACGAGCAGCAGTAAGCCTTTTTCCAAAGGTTCGATGAACTTCAACACCCGTCAGTTGTATTGTTATACACCTTGCCAAATATAATAGTGCATTAATTTTTGTTCTTCCTTTTCATATGTCTCCTCCAATGTTTGCTGCTTGTCTATGAGTAATATGTATGAACTGTGGGAGATAAAGGAGGCGATTTTAAGTGCTAAAACAATCTTCAGCAGTTCAGACTCGTTTTCTTCTTTTTTAAGGCAACTTAAACTTTCTTTGTCATCTTTCTTGTGTTCATTTTTCGGGGGATAGATTGCCTTGCTAACCCTTTATAGCAGCAACCCTTTATAGGGTTAGTACCATGATAACTTCTATAGCATTCATTAGATTAAATTAACAATCCTACAGGGTTAGTACCATGCTAACTTCTATAGCATTCATTAGATTAAATTAACAATCCTACAATCAGAATTTATTGAAGGACAATATAGAAATATAGATTGAAACCCTAATCTAAATGGTCTCCACTAATCAATGTTGTCAGAACCGAACCGGAGCATGACCCGGTAATGCGAACGGCTTGCACTTTAGTGGTCCAACCGATATTAGACCGTTTAAAAACCGTTAGAGAATCGGTACCTAATAAACATTATCAGTATAAATAGTGGACATTTCTTATCAGAGCTTATCTCTTTCCTTCAAAATTGCGAAAATGAAATAAGGATTCAGTTTGAGAGCCTGACGTTTTTGGTTTATTTCAATTTTCAATTTTTTATAATTTTTTTAATTAAATTTAACGACTGAATGGCACAAACCGGACGAACGGCTCAATCGGCTCGAGCGGTTAACCGCCTCGACCGCTCGCCAATCGTTACATAAAACCGGAGCAGCTTTTAGACTGTTCCGAGCCGGTTTTGGACCGGGTGGCGATTTTACCGATCGGGCCGAGCGGCTCTGCTCGGCTTTAATAACACTGCCACTAATTCCTCCCCACTCCCACATGCCACAACCGCCCACACTCCCCTCTCTCTCCTCTCTATCTCTGCACCAGAATGAACCGGCGTCCTTCTCTCTATCAGATCCATCGAACCCCCAAAAACACCACCGTCAAGGATTCCAACCTGCTATTGCTTCCACACTTGCGTCTCCTCCGTCCTTTGTTGATGCTTCGAGTCGTCACCGTTGGTGGGGGAATCCTTCATTGGAAGAGTGACGACGGGAGAGGGAAGCAGCGGAAGTGGGTGAGTGCAAGCAGCGGCGGTGTTGTTTCCAGATCCAAGATCTTGAGGGAAGCAGTTGGCTTGATGATATTGGTAGTAGTGATTTTCGTAGCGATTTTGGGAAGTGACTGTCGTGATTTTTATTGTTTTTAGTAGTGATTTTATATGTATCAATAGTCTTTTTTTTTTATAATAATGAGTAGTTATATTTGGTAATTATTAGTATAAGATTTTTATAGTGATACTTGTCAAATTGCTGCATTCTCTTAATTTTCGGTAGTCTTTTTGTAAAAATCATCAATTACTAATAATTAAAAATGTTAGTGATAATAATAAAATCACTACTAACCGTATAAAACCACTATAAGAAATTTATAATAGCTGCTATACCCACTAAAATCACTACTGATTTTAGTAGTAGTACTTTTTTAACAGTTAATTTGTTTACGTAGCATCTTTAAGAGAGAGAAAATTGATGTTTCAAAATTTAATTTTTTTAAATTACCTAATATACCCTCCACTACACTCCACCGTTTGATTCACTTTAAAATAATGGACGGTTATGAGAGTGGTTAGCACGGTGAAGTTAGCATCGTAACCTCTCCCTTTTTCGGCTCTGTTTTAGTTGAATTGGGTGATCGGATTAGGTCAAGGATCAGATAATTTCTGTTTGTATTTCCTTTTCTTTTGCGATTCTCTTTCAAGTTGAATCGGCTTATTCTGTAGTTAGTAACTTATTATTCATTCAGCTAAAATTTAGTGAACGTCGCCCTAAGATTACTTTTATCACCCTAACTTAAAACATAAAATTACTAAATTAATCTTAATTATTTTTATCGCCCCTCCAACTTAAAACATAAAATTACTAAATTAATCTTGATTATTTTTATCGTCCCCATGGGAATACTGTACTACAGAATTGCACAACGTGGTTTTGGGGAGGAGTCAGGTGACGAGCAGCAGTAAGCCTTTTTCCAAAGGTTCGATGAACTTCAACACCCGTCAGTTGTATTGTTATACACCTTGCCAAATATAATGGTGCCTTTATTTTTGTTCTTCCTTTTCTTATGTCTCCTCCAATGTTTGCTGCTTGTCTATGAGTGATATGTATGAACTGTGGGAGAGAAAGGAGGCGATTTTAAGTGCTAAAACAATCTTCAGCAATTCAGACTCGTTTTCTTCTTTTAATGCAACTTAACTTTCTTTGTCATCTTTCTTGTTTCATTTTCGGGTGATGGGTTGCGTTGCTAACCCTCTATAGGGTTGGTACCATGCTAACTTCTGTAGCATTCATTACATTAAATTAACAAACTACAGGGTTAGTACCATGCTAACTTCTATAGCATTCATTAGATTAAATTCACAATCCTACTATCAGAATTCATTGAAGGACAATATAGTAATATAGATTGAAACCCTAATATAAATGGAAAAAATCCAAAACTACCACCGTTTTAAAAAAAATTTACAAAAATACCACCTGCTCCAAAGAATTTCCAAAAGTACCATCGTTTATTTAAAACCGCCCCCCTGATGAGCGGTTTTAAATGAAACCGCGCCTCCTAGAGGCGTTTTCCTATCTAATCGCTCGTTGGAGGCGCGTTTTTATTTTCCAGAATAAACCGCCTCTGGGACAGGCGGTTATTGGCTAAACCCTACCAGAAAACGCTTCCTTCCTCAATTCACACTTCCTTCCTCAAATTTCAGCTTTGCACCTTTAAATTATTTAGTTTTTGCGATTAACGTTAGTTCGTAAGTTTGTTTCGTAATTACTTTTCATTGTCTTTGTGATTTTATGTTAGTAACTTAATTACTTTTGATTGTCCTTTGTGATGTTATGTTAGTAACTTAATTACTTTTCATTGTCATTTGTGATTTTATGTTAGTAATTTGAATTACTTTTCATTGTCCTTTGTTTATTAGATAATGTATATTTGTTGTACAATAATTTACTTAATTGTTAATCGTATTGATTATTTTCAATAGTTTAAATCAATACAATACAACACTTATTGAGACTCTTTATAAAGAAATGCATGTCTAAGGAAATGGGGACTTAAGCGATCATCATGATCCCCCCATGACCTGGGAAAATCGGGTTCTAAGCGATCCTCGGATCCCCCCTTTTTCTGTCAAAAAGACTGTGTTTCTAAGGAGATGTATACCTCTCCTAAGAGTCTTACGAGTGTACTTGTATTGCTTTAAATTATTGAAAATAATCAATACGATTAACAAAATAATATTTATGTTAGTAACTTGTGTTACTTTTCATTGTCATTTGTAATTTTATGTTAGTAATTTGAATTACTTTTCATTTTTCTTTGTGTTGTTATGTTAGTAACTTGTGTTACTTTTCATTGCAGATGGCATTCCAAAGGTTCACGCTTGGGTTGCGGTGGAATGGTTACACGGAAGAGACCGAAAAGGGTGTAAGTTACGTCGGTGGCAATTTTCATAAAATGAAGGTCCGTACGAGACCGATGCTTGAAGAGCTCCACCGAGTGTGCACTCAGATTACCTGCATGGATGGCAGTAGAAGAGTTGATCGAATGGTGTATCGATATCCAAACAGACATGACGGGTCGCTGTGGCATGAGGAATTCCTCCTTACCACTCAGGAGGACGTTGATGCCATGGTCCAATTTTTGACCACCAATACAATTAAGCAAGCGGAGATGTTCATTTACACCGAGGCCGTCGAAGGCAGTGTAGGTCATTCTGGAGATGGCCAAACATCTGGTATCCACGGTGGGAGTGTATTATACGAAGATACTCCCCACCAGGATTTCCAAGCCTCGAGTTGGAGTCAGGAGTATCATCATGGAACTAGAGGAAGTCATCAGTCCTTCCATTCATATGAAGAAGAAGCTCAACAGGCGGATTACAACCAACAAGCAGGCTACCAGTACCCACCCGAGTACAACTTCTATCAAAGCGGTGTTAGTTACCACAACTACCATTACGGAGCTAGTGGAGGTCAAGGTGCCTTTCATGCTGATAATCAGATGGAAGAAGAGGTCAATCCAAGTCCAGTTAGTGACCATGAGGTTGAAGAAGAGGAAGGCGAAGTTAGTGCAGACAGCTCCGATCCGCTGGAAGGTGCTGATGATTCCGGTCCAGATTCAGACGCAGATGGTGATGAGGTACCTCACGACCGTGTACCTATTCCATACTACAATCACATTCAAAGTGAAGATTGGTATGTTGATGCCGACATGGACCCGCCAGATGTGCCATTATGGGGTCCACTAACTGGCTTTACGAAGGGCCAACAATTTGCAACGAAGAATGAGGTTCGACACGCTATTTCCACTGAAGCAATGACTCGGAGTTTTGAATGGCAGACACCCATTCCGACACAAAGAGGCTGATGGTTCGATGCAGAAACCACAATGAGGGATGCACAGCTAGGGTCCGGGCCATCAAGAGCAAGAGAGTCGGTCATTGGGTCATATCCCGTGCGGTGAACACACACACATGTGTGTCATCAATAACATCCCAAGGCCATCGACAGTTGAAATCAAGGGTGGTTGCCGCGGCTATCAAACATCTAATTGAGGAGCAGCCCGACCTGAAGGTGAAAACCATCATCGCCCACATTTCTAGTCGTTATGGTTATATCATTAACTACAAGAAAGCGTGGCATGGGAAACAGAAAGCAATGGCTGCCGTGTTTGGTGACTGGGAAGAATCATATGCATTCCTTCCCAAACTGATTTTGGCGTTGGAGGTGTCTAACCCTGGAACAATTTTCTCGCCTCGCTAGTCGCTACCAAGATGAAGAAATTCAATCGTCGGTGGCTGGTAACAATCGCCAATTCAAGCGTCTTTTCTGGGCCTTCAAGCCATGTATTGATGGTTTTCCATACTGTGTTCCTATGATTCAAGTTGATGGAACATTCCTTACCGGCAAGTACAAGGGTACTCTACTGATTGCCAGCGGAGCAGATGCAAATAGATTAGTATATCCATTAGCCTTTGCCATTGTGGAGGGAGAGAATACCGATAGCTATGGATGGTTCTTCAGACAAATTCAGCTCCATGTCACCAGACGGACGAACTTGACTATCATCTCAGATCGCCACGCCGGTATACGGGCTGCTATTTTAGGCTTGGATCCAGCCTGGAACTGGTCACAGAGATGGTGCATCCGGCATTTCAAGAGCAACTGGAACCATCATTTCAAGCGAAGGAAGCTTGCTGACAGTCTATGGTGGATTGGTAAGCGTTCAAATTAATTGTCTATCTGTAAATTTTTAAAACTGTATACAAGTATTGAGTGTATTGGCAATAAGGTTGATCTTGCTTTTCTCACGTTTTTTTTATATTCATCAGCTGTCGCGTACCAAGAGAAGAAATTTAAAGAGAAGATGCAGAATATCCGTCAAATATGCCCTGAAGGTGCGCAGTGGCTTGATCAACATGACCTTGAAACGTGGACTTTTCATAAGGACGGAGGTCACAGATGGGGTATTGGCACAACAAACTCAAGCGAGAGTATCAACAACGTCTACAGGGAATGTCGTGCACTCCCCATCTCTGCAATTGTTGAAATGACATTCTGGAAAAAAAACAGATGGTTCGTCAACCGTCTCCACTGGTGTGAGAAGAGGGAGGCACTCGGTAAGGTACACTCCGATTATGTATTGAAAATAATGGAAAAAGATAATCGGAAGAGCTCTCGTCACACAGTCACTGTGATGAACCGCCATGCTGGCGAGTATTCGGTCGAGACTGGGCACTGGGAGGATGGGAGACGTGGTGGTCATCGCCATGAAGTCACCATAAACTTTCGGACTAAAAAGGGGGAGTGCTCCTGTCAGAAGTATCAGGGTAGAGGGATACCATGTTCTCATGCAATGGCTGCAATAAAGCACAGGAGCAAAGACCCTCGTCAATTCGTTAGTCCGTTCTTCAACATTGACTCACAAAAGAGCAGTTATCGTACTAGTTTCCGTGCATTGCCGGATGAAGCTTACTGGCCAGTTTATGAGGGTATGGTCATCATTCCACCAATCGGTCTTAGGCGGGAAACAGGGCGCCCGCGGAGAAAAAGGATTCCAAATGAAATGGATCAAAGTGGAAGACCACCGCGAGGGCCAAGGCGGTGTTCCATATGCAAAGTACCCGGTCATGATAAACGAAAATGTCCCGGACGAAATTGGTCCTCAAAATGCTGGGCCCGATGTGGATGTCCCGGATAATGGCGCTTAGATTGTTTTTATGCGTGTGTTTCATCTTTGTGTATTAATAAAACACATCACGAATTCAAACACACTACTTTGTTCAACTTAAGTTAACTTGTACCATAACTTCACCTAAAAACACCATTGTTCAACCTAATTTAAACAAAACATAACTTGAATTAGAAACACCATTGTTCAACTTAATTTAAACAAACACCACAACTTGAAATAAAAACACCATTGTTCCACTTAATTTAAACAAAACCAATCCTTGAAATAAAAACACTCATGCATTGTTTCGACGGTTTGCCCTCTGCTTCCTTGTGCGATGGGCGACTGGTCCACCGGGTGTCGACGATGGTGGAACGGGTGGCAGAATCCTATTCGCCGTAGAAGCGCGATCCTCCGTGCTATGCCGCCTCGGTTCCGTGATAGGTGGGCCCTCCGTCTGCGGCCGAGGGCTATCCATGCTCATACGATGGGGAGAGGATTGCCATTGTTGTTGCCATTGTTGTTGTGGTCGAATCCAAGGTGTGAAGTCTTGTTGTGGAGTGGATTGCCATTGTTGTTGCCATTGTTGTTGTTGCCATTGTTGTTGTGGTCGATGCAAAGGTGAGAAGTCTT